ATAACCATTCCTCCCCACTCATTTCTAACCACNTTCGAATTTTTTAATTTTTAGCTATATCTTTTCTTTTTTTTTTTTTTTGCAATTTTGGTTTCTTAATTCTTTTTGTTTTCCAAGGTTAAATTTTGATCAAAGAGTAACCAAGTGAAGGGGCTGGATCATTATATCCAATTGCTTTAGTTTAATATAATTGTTATCATAACACATGTTTGATGAAATGTCTCAATAATTGTCTTTGATCCTTGCAAGTCTTCACAATGGTGTGATCCAGATCTGGGATTCTCATTGATTTGGTTCGACAAGCATTTTTTTTTAAAAGAAAATTTTATTCCATGAAACAATGAATTACAAGAATCAAAGCAAACAAGCAAATCTAGATACAAGAGTTGGCTTTAATTCTTCAAAAAGATTTAAGCCATTTATCTAACTATCCCAAGACAGCTTCACAATCTTCGATGAAAAGTTAGTCTCATGCTCCACAGTCAGACTGCTTGATCTTTGTAGTGGACTGCTGAAAATACAACTAGGCAACAAGCATCTCCAATCCCAGGCAACGGCACTCCAGCATCCATCACCATCACAGCAGAATAGCAGAACTGCAGCACTTCAAATACTGCATCAAAGCAGAATCTGCTTACAGCTTCCACGGCAGCACAGTTTGTCTGACAGAAACTGGCATCACAGCATCAACTCACAGCAACACAGAGTGCAGCACATCAGAGCAGAGCAATTTACAAAATGCAGCACAGACAACACTCCTAGTACATCTGCTTGCCCAAACCCACCTCAGCAACTGCTATCTGACATAGCAGCATAACTCCCAACAGCCCAGCCAACCCTTGTCATCAAATACCATAGAACTCTTGGTAAGCAGAACAGGAAGCCTTCTTTGATCCTGAAACAAAGTCTGTCTGACAGTAACTGGCAGCTGGTTACTCTCAGAAAATATAGATGAAAAGCCATCTTGGATAGCTTTATTTGCTAAAGCATCAGCAACAGAATTTGCTTCCCTATATACGTGCTCCAAAGTGAACTGCAATCTGGTCAACAGTGACTTAATTTGATCCAAAAAGCCCAGCAAAGGCCAAGCACATCCCATCATACCCTTAACAGTCTTGACCAACACCAAAGAATCTGACTCAATACAGATTCTATAAACAAACAAACCCAATCTATCAACCAAAGAAAGGCCATCCACTAGAGCCCTAAATTTAGCTCCCATATTAGATTCAATTCCATACCAAAAAGAGGCAACCATAACCATTCCTCCCCACTCATTTCTAACCACTGCTCCTCCTCCAGCAGGACCAGGGTTCCCCTTAGCAGCACCATCTACATTGACCTTTAAAACTCCAGCATCAGGGAACACCCAACACACCCATATAGCTTTGGTCAACACCACATATGGCATGACAATGCCTAAAATATTCAAAACCATTCTTCCATTTTCATTATCCATTATCCTGGGTTTCACCAATCTAACCTGAAACCTTATAAGGCTGCAGATTTTTCGAAAAATTGAGTAAGAATACATCTGCCCTTCCCCAGCTCTCCTTCTACATCTCTCCTTCCATATTTGGCAAAAAATCAATAAAGAAAGACTCCTCATTAAACTACAACACACAGTCTTTCTCTTAAAAATTCTACACAACCTTTGTATTCTAACCAATGGTAACTCCTCATTGATCAATTGAAAACCCCTCATACCAGCAAACGTTCCCCAAATAACCTTTGCATACTTACATTCAACAAAAAGGTGAACTACATTCTCCTCCTCCTCACAACACATTTCACACCTGCTAACCAAAGGGATTACACACAGCCTAATTCTGGAATCCAAAGGTATAGCCTTCATTAACAACTTCCATCCCACCAATTGAGCACTAGGAGCTGTTGCCATGCTCCAAATAGCCTTAGTAGTCTCATTTTGAACAATTGGAACCCTTATCAGATTCCAAGCGTCCTTCAACATAAATTCCCCAGCCTTGTCAGACAAAGATAAATGACATCTCAAGATTTATGACCTTAACTGTTCAGATAATAAACTATCCACCTGCTCCAGCTGCCACTGAGAACCATTCAAAACCTCACATACTTTAGGAAAATACTGAAGCATTTCATCCAATTTACAAATCAGAGGACCCCCATCCAACCAATGATTACACCAGAAATCAGCCTGATCACCTTTTCCAATCAACAATTTAGACTACATAACCACTTTCTCAAAAAAAGGCACTAAAGCCTTAAAGCATTTAGACTTACCTCCATTCATACATCTAAGCATATGTTTTCCCTTCAGAAATTTAGTAGAAAAAACCTGAGACCACAATGAGGTACCCTGTAATAATTTCCATGTCTGCTTCATTCTAAAAGCAGCTTGCAAATCCTCAAACTTCCTCACTCCCAAACCTCCCTCATATTTAGGCAATGTAACCTTACTCCAGGCTACCCAGTGTCGTTTCCTAGCATCTAGTTTGTTAGACCAAACAAAGCCTTCCATTATAGAATTTAACTTGTAAATAATACTCTTAGGCAGATTCAAACATGCTAGCAAATGAATGGGTACAACACTCAGAACAGTCTGCACCATCAATAACCTACCCATATTTGACAATCTTTTGGCATACCATCCCTCAAGCCTGCTTCTGAATTTACACACCACACTCTCAAAATCTCTAATCCTAGTTCTCCCTTGAATTATTGGACAACCAAGGTAAATGAAAGGACATTGCTTAAGTGGAATTCCAGTAATAGCAGAAAGCTCCTATCTTCTGCTAGAAGATATAAACTTTGAACAAAACATAGAACTTTTCTTTTCACTCACTTTCTGTCCAGAAGACTGCTCATATTCACCTAGAAATTTCATCAAATTCACCAATGACCTTTTGTTCCCCCTAACGAAAACCAAAGTGTCATCAGCAAATAGCAGATGAGACGCTAAGGTTGTTCCTCTCCCCAAATGATACCCTTTCACCAAACCATCCAAGAAAATCCTCCTCAAACCCCTACTCAACACCTCTTCTGCTAGGATAAACAGGCAAGGAGATATTGGATCCCCTTGCCTCAAACCTCTAGAGGTATGGAAAAAATCAACCCTTTGCCCATTCACACAAATAGACACATACTGACTTTCCAAACAGTTAGCAATAATACCCACAAACAATTCAGAAAAGCCAAAACAAGAGAGGGTTTTCAACAAGAAATCCCACTCCAACCTATCATAGGCTTTCATCATATCTAGCTTCAAAAGCATATTCCCTGCCTCAACCTTCCTATCCAAGTTCTCTACCATTAACTGTGCCAAAGCCACACAATCACCCCCACTCCTGCCCTTCACAAAACCATGTTGTTCATTAGAAACAACCATTGGAAGAATAGGAGCAAGTCTAGAGGCCAAAAGCTTAGTAAACACTTTGTACAAAAAATTACATAAGCTTATTGGCCTAAAATCTGAAAAAGATATAGGATTATGTTTAGGTTTCTTAGGGATCAAAACTAGTAAAGTAGCATTTGCTGACCTGGGTACTTTACCACCTTGTAAGAAAAAGTTGGCAGCTCTTACCATGTCCAATTTAATGACCTTCCAAGCCACCTGAAAAAACTTCCCAGAGAAACCATCAACCCCTGGTGAACTATGCACAGACATGGAAAAAACCACACTTTTCACCTCCTCCTCTATAGCTTCAGCAACCAACTTCCTATTCAATTCCTCATCCACCAGCATAGGAATCTCAGCAAATAAACTCTCCCACAACACATGATTCTCAGGCTTATACAAAGAAGAATAAAATTTCACAGCCACCTCAGGAGTCTCCAAATCAGAATGAACCCAATCACCAGATTCATGTTGAATCTTAGAGACCCTATTTCTGAATGCTTTCCCTTTTGCCACAACCTGGAAAAACTTAGTATTTCTCTCTCCCTCCATAACCCATCTAGCATTAGCCATTTGTCTCCAATAAGCCTCTTCCATTTTCAAAATCTCGTCCAACTCCTTTTGTACTCTCTCCGTAGCCAGAATATTACTCTCAGAATTAACCTCTTCAAGTAATATCTCTACCTTTTGAACCTCCTCCTCCTTCCTCCTAATCCTCTCAAAAATGTTTCCAAAAATATCCTTATTCCATCTTTTAAGATAAACCTTCAAATACTTCATTTTCAAAAAAATATTTTCAATTGGATTATCTGCATACTCACCACACCATTTAGACATAATCAAGGGCATAAAACCAGGATCCTCAACCCACATATCCTGAAATTTAAAATAAGAGACTCTGCTAGGAACAGAATCCCTTACTTTAAGCAACATAGGGAAGTGATCAAAGCATCCCTTGGCCAAATGCAGTACCTCCATACTGCCAAACTTCATACACCAGTTAGAACTAAACCGAAGTCTGTCAATTCTCTGCCACATCCTAGTCTGACCATGGTGATTATTGCGCCAGGTAAATCTACTACCAATAAACCCCACATCCTGCAGACCAACCTCATGCACAAACTCCCCAAACTCCTCCATAGCAATATTTGAAGGATATGGACCCCCAAACCTTTCTTGTAAGCTCAAAATAGTATTGAGGTCTCCTCCCACCATCCAAACAGAAGACAATGCTATATCAAGCCCTAAAAGATGCTCCCACAATGGCCTCCTTAACACATAGTCACAAGCAGCATAGACCATGGTGATATAGACCACCTCAGACCCCAAATAAGAAGCCCCCACAGTCAGGGCCTGCTCATGCTGGGCCACTATGTTAACTTGTACTCTATCATCCCACAACACCCACAAGTAACTCTCAGCCAAAGGATTACAGACATAATGAGGTAAGCCAATAGACATAGCCAGCCCATGAAGCTTATTTATCCTCATTTTAAGTTCCTGAATAGAAACCATACACACATCATTCATTCTAACCAGCTTCTTAAGCCTGCTTCGCTTTCCCAGCTCCCCTCATATTCCAAGATAAAAAATTAATCATGGACAAAAGAAGGAACTCCACTTCTGAACCTTAGTCTAATTGAAGCTTCACTAGAAACCACATTCAAAGCATTAGAATCAGAATTATCTTCTTCCAACTCCTGCATGAGATTTCTGGATCTTTCCTAGTCAGCACTACCTATATCAGACATATAGCCTATATCTGGTGGATCAGTCCTCCTTTCCAAACCTATATCATCATCCACTATCAAATTCAATCCCTTCCTAGTGACATACTGATGTTCCATATAAAAAGAATCAACCACCCCTAGTGTAACCAAAGGAGTCTTAGCAACCTCTCTTGGGACTCCCCTCTCCTGCTCAACTGGACTCTCATTTAGCTGAGCACAAACAACAGGATTCTCATCATTTTGCAACTCTTCCACACTATTCCTAATATCAACCCCCATATTAGGTACCATCTCTTCAAGAACAGTCACCTCATTTAACAGAACAAAAGCACTACCATTCTCAGCTCTCTCTTGAATTAACTCTTTTTCACCTTCCACCTCCAAATTTCCATTAGAACACTCTCCCATCTCTACATCCACAATTGGAATTCCATCTTGTTGATCTTCCAACACATCAAATCTATTCCCAACCTCCACCTCCTGAACCCCAGTTTTCTGCTTTAAGACCTTCTTTGCTCTATCTTTGTGGACATCAATCNCCCACATATCCTGAAATTTAAAATAAGAGACTCTGCTAGGAACAGAATCCCTTACTTTAAGCAACATAGGGAAGTGATCAAAGCATCCCTTGGCCAAATGCAGTACCTCCATACTGCCAAACTTCATACACCAGTTAGAACTAAACCGAAGTCTGTCAATTCTCTGCCACATCCTAGTCTGACCATGGTGATTATTGCGCCAGGTAAATCTACTACCAATAAACCCCACATCCTGCAGACCAACCTCATGCACAAACTCCCCAAACTCCTCCATAGCAATATTTGAAGGATATGGACCCCCAAACCTTTCTTGTAAGCTCAAAATAGTATTGAGGTCTCCTCCCACCATCCAAACAGAAGACAATGCTATATCAAGCCCTAAAAGATGCTCCCACAATGGCCTCCTTAACACATAGTCACAAGCAGCATAGACCATGGTGATATAGACCACCTCAGACCCCAAATAAGAAGCCCCCACAGTCAGGGCCTGCTCATGCTGGGCCACTATGTTAACTTGTACTCTATCATCCCACAACACCCACAAGTAACTCTCAGCCAAAGGATTACAGACATAATGAGGTAAGCCAATAGACATAGCCAGCCCATGAAGCTTATTTATCCTCATTTTAAGTTCCTGAATAGAAACCATACACACATCATTCATTCTAACCAGCTTCTTAAGCCTGCTTCGCTTTCCCAGCTCCCCTCATATTCCAAGATAAAAAATTAATCATGGACAAAAGAAGGAACTCCACTTCTGAACCTTAGTCTAATTGAAGCTTCACTAGAAACCACATTCAAAGCATTAGAATCAGAATTATCTTCTTCCAACTCCTGCATGAGATTTCTGGATCTTTCCTAGTCAGCACTACCTATATCAGACATATAGCCTATATCTGGTGGATCAGTCCTCCTTTCCAAACCTATATCATCATCCACTATCAAATTCAATCCCTTCCTAGTGACATACTGATGTTCCATATAAAAAGAATCAACCACCCCTAGTGTAACCAAAGGAGTCTTAGCAACCTCTCTTGGGACTCCCCTCTCCTGCTCAACTGGACTCTCATTTAGCTGAGCACAAACAACAGGATTCTCATCATTTTGCAACTCTTCCACACTATTCCTAATATCAACCCCCATATTAGGTACCATCTCTTCAAGAACAGTCACCTCATTTAACAGAACAAAAGCACTACCATTCTCAGCTCTCTCTTGAATTAACTCTTTTTCACCTTCCACCTCCAAATTTCCATTAGAACACTCTCCCATCTCTACATCCACAATTGGAATTCCATCTTGTTGATCTTCCAACACATCAAATCTATTCCCAACCTCCACCTCCTGAACCCCAGTTTTCTGCTTTAAGACCTTCTTTGCTCTATCTTTGTGGACATCAATCATATCATCCTCCCAGAATTCCCCTTTCTAGCAGTCAAATTCCCCTTTCAGTTATTCTACCAGCACTTTGAACTGGACCAGCCTCACCTCCCTCCTGTTTTTTCTTTCTACAAATCACAGAGTCATGCCCTTGCCTCAAACAGTTAGAACAATACAAAGCATTCTTCTCATACACAATCTTCTGCCAACGACCACTCAAGCCTCCCATATCTAGCCAAAACCTTCTAGGGTTATTTGCCAACAGATAGACCTCAACGCAGGCTCTGGCCACACTAGGGCGAGTCAAATTCAGAGTAGATTTATCAACCACCAGAATACGACCAACATGACTCAAGATGTCCCTCAGACTTTCCACATTAAAGCGATGGATAAGAAGACCTGGTAAAGACTACCAAACAGGAACTATCGGTGGTTCCATACCAGGTAAAACCTCTTGAAGAACCTAAATAGAAAACCTTCTATATATGTTGCGTCCTTCAACCACGTATAAAATTAATCTTCATACAACTCAAAATGAATTAATATGTGTCTAGGATCCAAGATTCCAACATAGAACTCACCTTTGGGCTTCCATCTTGTAACAATGAACTCACGGATTACATCCAGAGAACGCTTACTGTATGCACACTTCCCAATCAGAGTCTGATGGACTTAGAAAATAGCTCTTGAGTCTCTTCAGATGTCCAGTACATGTCAGGTTCACCGTTGTTATATACAACTCTCTTCGCAGAGTTTGGAACATTCATCACAGCAGACATAAGATTCGCAGAATTCGACACATTCGTCTCAGCAACTAGAGAACTCTTCATCTTGGATACATCAGATTCGCACACCTTCTCACCACCAGATAAAGGAACTTGACCAATTAAAGTAACGTGATCACTCTACAAATGATTACAAGTCGAAGGGAATCGAACCGAAGAAAGAAATTGAGTATCGAAGGAAATTTTGTAATCGAAGGGATTTCAAGAATCGAAGATGTTTGAGCAATTGAAGGGATAGAATGAGGCATTACAAACATTTCCTCACCACCAGAAAGATTCGCAGAAGAACTAATTCCATTAACGGATCCAGAACCAGTTGTCGCAGCAGTGTTCGAAGGTTTCTTGAATAAATATACAAAATTTTGACTAATATCCGGAGGTTTTGGCGGAATTTATTTGTGAATTTGATCAGAATTCAGGATTAATCAACAAAATCCAGTAGGAAATCTTAGAAATCAGATGAAAATCAAAGCAAAAATGAAGATCGTCAAAGAAAGTTTTTAGAGAGAAGTCAGAGCTTCTCTATCTAAAACAAAAATAACTGCCGCTAAATTACCCCCCTCATTGCCTATGGAGACAAGCATATTGGACCTCTTCGTGGTGTATCTTTGTCATGTAAATATCATAAATCCTTCAATTATTTTTACACACACACACACACAATGTTATGTGTGTTATGCTAATTGTGCATTTGACTAATTTTATGTGTTTATGCTAATGCACTTATACGTTTTATTAGGTTCAATCAATATTTTTTTTGAGGTATTTGTATATGTGATGTTGTTTTAGGGAGTTGTTTTTGTACATTTTTTTGTAATAATTCTCCTAATATGGATGATATAGTTGACAGTATATTTTAGATTATTTTAAAAGAATTGGTATGAATATTTTTGTGTCATTCTTTTTGAAGCTGGACAATTGATTGTGATTTTTGTGTATGTTACATAGTACTTTCAGGAACGGGTAATGACTAATATCTATATAATTTCAGAGTGGATTTGTATACAATAGATATATCTATCAAGGAAGTCTGAAAAGTTTCTGGTAAGTTGGTCGTAAATAAAGTTTTTAATTGTTTCTTTCATTTTAAGTTTACTTGCAGTTCTAAAATATCGATATATAATTTCATATCATGCATTCATCTACTTTTCTTTCCTTCTTGAACTTTTTCTTTGTGGAGCTTAGTTGGACAGCATTCTATTCAACCTGAAGCACTGCAATTTTGTGTTTATGTGCATGACTATATTCTTGTGTGGTCACATTACTTCCAACTAACACGAGTTTTTGTCAATCTTACTTTTGTATTTGATATTTATATTGCTTGAATAGATGGGAACTTGAAGTTGAGAATTACTTGTGTCTTTGATATTAACTTGTTTTTGACTATCAGACCTTGTTACAAGGGCATAAATAGAATAGACAAACGTTTTTTATAGATTGAAATGAAACTCGCTGGAAAGTTAATAATGAAATTGACAAATAATAAATCTGAAGGACCAAAGTGAAAATAGTTTTGTATCAAATTGAAACTGCTTTGAACTCCCTGTTAAAATTAATATTCAATAGTTTAAATAAAATAACTTGTCAAATAATTTTTATCCCTTATCAAATATATTATTCTTATTTTTTCTCAAAAACAAATAAATGTCTTTCTATCTTTTCCCTTTCTATGTATCAAGTAGTAGAATTTTCGATTTGTGAAAGAAAATTTCAAAAAGAAAACACTAAAAAAGTAGAAAAAAAAATGAAGGGCATTATTGTGCTAAATTTACACTAAAGATTGTTACCTCCATTTAGCTATTGGAGTTTTCATCATGCCTAAGTAGACGTTTGCCTAATAATTGTAGTGATTTGTTCTTTTATTTGCAGTAACAGTACCTGGTAGTGAAGTGGAAGCTCCACCTACCAAAAGCCATGACGCTAGAAGTTAAAATCATAGCGACCGAGAAAATTAAACCTGCCTCTCCAACTTCTTTGCCTCTAAGAACCTACAAGGTTTCAATTCTGGATCCACTCTTCCGTCATGCATATGTCCCAATGGTTCTCTTCTACCCAAACGATCAAACTAGTAGTGATCTCGATGATGCCATTGCCATCGCTGGAAGAACACAACGTCGTCTAAAGCAGTCCCTTTCGGAAACTTTAACTCGCTATTACCCTTTTGTTGGAGAGGTCCAAGATGATCTCCAAATTGAGTTTAATGATGAGGGAGTCTATTATGTTGAAGCCCAAGTTGATGAACATCTCACAGATTTTCTCAGGAAACCTGATATTAAGTCGCTACATATTTTACTTCCATTTGACCCCAATTCCATGGAGTATATATCAACACCCTATGTAGTTAGGATTCAAGTAAACATTTTTAACTATGGTGGGGGTGCCATTAGCATGTGCACTTCACATATATTCATCGATGGTCACACGAGCACAATGTTTTTGAAGGCTTGGGCAGCCACTGCTCGTGGCCAGTCTCTAGAGCAAGTATGTCCCAGTTTCTTATTACCATCTCTCTTCCATCAAAATCCTACATTGCCTAAAGATTCTTCATTGGCTATGTGGCCTTTTAAACAAGGCTAGTTTGTTACGAGGAGATTTGTATTTGATGCCTTTTCCATAGTTGCACTTAAGGCCAAAGCATCTGCTGTCTCACCAGCTGTAGTTGTGGAAAACCCAACCCCTGTTGTGGTTGTAACTGCACTTCTCTAGAAATGCGTCATAGGTGCTTCTAAAGCAATTCATGGTTCCAAAGAGTCATCTGTTTTGTCACTTTCAGTGAATCTACGAAGAAAAAGTTTGTCACCATTCCTGGAGAGTTCTGTTGGAAACATCATTTGGATGGTGATTGCACAGTGCAAGGTGAATTCAAACTTGGTACTGCCCTTCATTGTAGGGCATTTAAAGAATTCCATTGTAGAAATAAACAGTGATTTTGTTGAAGAAATAAAAAGTGATGAAGGGTCTTTGAAAGTTGGTGAGCATCTCAAAGAAATGGCTCAACTGTATTCCAATCCTGACGCTGATTACTTTCTTGTCACTAGTTGGTGTAACTTTGGCCTTCATGAAGCTAATTTTGGGTGGGGAAAACCTAAATGGTGGTGTATAAGCACTCTGAGCACAAATACCTCAGTTTTGTCTAATGTCATATATTTAGTGGATACAAAAGTGGGTGATGGAATTAAAGCATGGGTTTGCCTAAGTGAACAATACATGGCTGTATTCGAGCGTGATCCAGAGCTCCTCGCATTCGCTTCCTTGGATCCTAGTCCTCTTGAACATGATAACCAAGGATAGGACCAAAATCCCCCCAAATCCAAAGCTAATTGGGAGAGATGAAGCACTATTCAAATAGAGCTTGAACATTGTCGTTCTCAAAAACTAAGGGGTGTGGAGATGACCCCCTAGACCATAACTGCGTTTCTTGCCCAATATTGTTTTCTAATGCTCCTGTTGAAGGTAATGATGTTAAGTAATGCTTGCTTCGTTATTTTCATTTGCTGATGTATGTATGGTTATGTGTTCTCATAAGCTTCACTCTTAAAATGTGTGATCATGTTTGTTCAAAAAAAAAAAAATTATGTGATCCTGTGATGTAAGGCCAAGTTTATGAACAAAAACTAATGGGTAATGAGTATAAATTAAGTATAATAACATTCTAGAGTTGATTCATGAGTAAAGAAGTAAAAAGTATATTTGATAATTTTGGGCTGGTTTTAAGTAGATGAGTTGTCTCTTATATTGCAATTCAAATTTTTCGATTACTAGAAGGGACAGGCTCGAGAGACCCGAGAAATTGAGGTTTAGGGAGACACATTACTCTTTCCACAAATTTTTAGGGGATGACAAATGTGAAAATAAGCAAAACAAAAAAAAGAGAAAAATGGCTAGATAATTCCAAACCAAGAACATAAGTGCTCCCATCTCAAGTTTTGCATAGAAAATTTGAGTTTTAAAAGAAAAAGAAAGAAAGAAGAGGTTGGTTGCTACTTGCTACTTGTGGCCAAATATTAGAAAGGCCCTCAAACTTCTTTCTACAAAAAATTGTAGTGGACATATTTTGGAGAATTTATTTGAATTTAAGTACATAACTTATACTTTTTGGTTATTAAGTTTAATGCCACCTAAAAGTTCAGTTATTAAATACATAAGTTAGTTTTAAATATTTTCTCATTACTTAATTGTTTTTGCTTGATTCATATATAACAGATTTTGTTTACTTTTTTCTTTTAAGATCTGTTCCTCTACTTGCAGAGTGGCCCAAACAACTCATCTACAACCTGTCCACCCCCAATGTTAGAATGGACTGCACCCAAAGGAAGAAGCCCAATAGTACCTGAAAGCTTGAAGTCCAGCCCAGCCCCAATCTAGCTCAGTGGGAGGTCAGTTCTAGATAAAGGAGCTCGGCCCCTTGTCGATCTTGAAACGCTCCCGTCGCGCCACATGTCTTGAGGGCAGGGAACCACTTCTGACACCCTAAACAAACACACACTCTCTGCCACAGAGAATATTGGTGTGCATAACCGCTCAAGGTCCATAGGTGCAGTGGCGTCACATGTCAAAGGTCACTAAAGAACAAAAGCAGAAGGACCCACAAAATCAGCAAAAATGAGGAAGGAGCCGTAAGAAATCCTAGAAGGATCACCTGTATAAACAAGACACTATTACACTATAGAGGGGGAACGATCATCACCTTCCTCATCACTTGCTCAATTATCTACACAGTTAAGATTTTATTCTCTAAGCATTTTTTGTAAAGGCTCTAATCCAACGGTACCATTGTAATAGCCTTCTTCAAGCAATATACAATCCCAATGAGTAAGAGACTCTTATAGTGGACGTAGCATTAGTCATTCAACTAAGGTGAACCACTTACGTAGTGTTTTTACAGTTTCAACCATTTCCAACTCATCTTTCTATTCTATCCCCTTTCTGGGCCATCAGATTGTAGTTTTGAACTTGGGCTAACATTTCTGAGCACCATCAATTACATATCATATATATATTAACCTGTGTCTGAAGGCACAGTGTAATGTGAATAATTTTCAAAGGAATGTTGGTAGCCATTGGATGAGTTTATTTAAGACAGTCAAATAAACTTATTGAAGTCTACTCTATTTTATATTATAGATATACTAATAATTGCCCGTACCTGAAGGCACTACGCTACTCGTAAAAAATTGTAAATCTTTTATCATAAATAAAGGTAACGTATAATACAATTTTAACAATACAACGATCAAATTGATATTGTTCAACCTGTATGCAAAACATATATAATCAAACTTTTATAAAATGAAAGTCACACTATAACTACTGCAACATATTAATTCAAAAATATGAAAAAATATAATTATTATTGATCAAACATCCATAATTTTAACATTTTTAATAAACTTTATCTCAAATTACAAAAAAAAAAAATAAATAAATATTTGTTTTTCTGCAGGTTTCTACCTAAAGTTCATAACATTATCTTTGCACCATTTTTTCAAAGTGAATTTGTATAACTTTTGTGAGAAAAACATCCAAAAATTTCACGTGAATTCTCATAAAGGTAAAAAAATTTGTTGAAAAATTAAAATCAATTTTTATTTGAGTTCAACTTAAATATTCGTAAAATTCAATCGAATTTAAGTTTGGTGAGATATTCTCACCCCATTTAATTTTTCATTATCAAACTACTAAATTCACCCCTTCTATACCTATCTCATTAGTAACTAAGTTCACCTCATGTTACATACACCCCATTTAATAAGTAAACTCACTTTATATTTTTGTCATAATTAGGGTTTCATTTTCTATTTCATCTCATGCACTCACAAAAATATTTTTTCAATATGAATTTTTTCATTGAGATACATGTTAGTATTACTTTTCAATTTAATTATATGCTTGGTTTCCTGTTTGTTGTATAAATTTTCATTATTTTCGGTATATTTTGATATCTTTGTAAAGTTTAATAATTTTTTATTTAGAATTTAGATATGTGTGTATATATATATATATGTATGCTTTTAGATTATTTATCATTTTTTTATCTTTTGTAGTTTTTGCATCTATGTTTGTTATTTTTTTTCTTGTTCATTTGTGTCTATGCTTGATACTTTTTTTTCATGTCAGGTTTTGCGTCTTGTGGTTTTATTTGTTCCTTCAATCTTTGGTTGGTTTTTGTTTTCCTTCTTGTTTCGGTTTGCTTCTTTCTTTTTTTTTTTTTTTTCCTTTTTTTGTTCTTTTCTTTTTAAAGGGGGTGTATGTAGCATGGGATAGGAATAGAGATTTGAAGGGTGGGAATGACCCCACCCTTTAAGTTTAAGCAAAAATTTATATTTTATACTCGACAGTCAAATTTAGCTCAATTCAAGTCTTAATCATAATTACGTCAAACCGAGAATTGAATTTAAGTTTAACTCAATTAATACTTTTATTTTAAACCTACAAACTAATTCTTATCTATTCTCGTTCACTGTGACGCCATAACTTCTTCTTCTTTTTTTTATTTAGTTTTTCTTTATTACTTTTACAATCAATTTCAACTTGAATATTTGTAAAATTTAAGCAAAATTAAGTTTAAGTAAAAATATATACTTTATACTCGACAATTAAATTCAGCTCAATTCAAATCTTAATTATAATCACTTCGAACTAATAATTGAGTAAACTGAAAGAATTCTTGTAATTTTTGGGTAGGAAAAAAATTTGGAGGAGGAATTTTGATCGTTTAATCAATAATCTTAAAACAATCTGAGTCGCAAAAAGTTCAAGACAAATAATGAAATAGAGAGATAGAGTTATAAGAGAGATATAAATCTTAGAATTGTAAAAAGAATGAATGTCTTGCTCAAAAAATTAGGAGAGGGAAGGAAATTTTGTATTAGAACCGTCGAATCAATATTTCTTCAATCAAAATGAGTCACGAAAAGCTAAAGACCAAGAAATCAAACTACTTTATTAAATAGAAATATATATATATATGTATAAAGATAGAGAGAAAGAGAGAGAGTTCTAATATAAAAAAACTCTAAAATTTAAGAATTTTAATTTCCAAATTAATCGATTTTCTTATCTAATTTTTTCAACAGTAACTATGATGATAGGGGTGTTTCGGTCTTTATACTCTAAAGTGTCCTTTTTGTCAAAAAAAAAATTGGGTTTGTACTTAAAACCAAATAAATTATAAAAGGTGTATTGGCTTCCAAAAAATCAGTGTTATTTGAACCGAAATGGACCGGTCGGTCGAACCGGTGAATCAGGCCCTAAACTAATTTTGTTCACCAAAAAGACCGTCTATGCAATCGAATAGCTAAACCGGACAGTTTTTGGCCAAAACCATTGAATTGGATGATTTCTAAAGCCGACCGGTTCAAAACTTAATACCAGCCTGATTTCTAAAGCCGACCGATTCAAAACTTAATACCAGCCACTTCATCTTCTGTATTCTTCGCCTTCGATTCTCCCAAATCCAGATCTCAAACAGAAGCCACACCACCCTAACTCCTTCTTAGCCATTGATCTCCTCCTCAATTGTGTAAGTTTTCTTTTCTCTCTCTCTCTCTCTCTCTCTCTCTAGCTACACACACAGACACAATTAGTAATACACACATATAGAGCTTTTGTAGTACATAGTTTACACACACAAATGTTGGGTCTTCTCCTCTTTTCTCTCAGTGAATCATTGACCCGTTTTTTTCTGTCAATTAGATGTTCGATTTAGTTATACCCATAAATTCGCAAAAATATAGCTCGGAAGATGGCCCAATGGGCCAACGCTTCAAAACATGCACGGCCAGATTGAATCAAAATAAACCGGGTTCTTTTTGTCTGTTGGTTTCACCTCTTTTTTCCTTTTTGGAAAAAATGTCATAGAGCCAATCACTTTATTGATTTTCTTCCCAGCCTACTTTCACCATTTGTAGGAGACTTTGCATGCTATTTGAGAGACGTTTGATATTGTTCTTTACTCATCAATCTATCATTATCTAAGTTACATTTTACATCCTCACTGCATAAATTCTAAGTTTGTTTGGTTCAAAGGAAATGGGAGAGAAGAGAAATTGCAAAAGAAAGAGTGGGAAAAGAAGGGTAAAATAAATTCTCTTTTTTGGTAAAAGAAAAATTGGAGTAAAATTAAAAGAAAAAACAAGAGAGGAAAACATGACTTGTTTTTTAAAACTTCATATAAAATGGAAATACTTTTTGGTTGTTTAAGGAAGGAAATAAGAAGTTTCCCTTCCCCCAAACATGTTTAACCAAAACCATATTTGACCTTTCCTCTGTAAATCATCTTCTGGAATGAG